ATATCTATTCGTTATTGTACATAATATGTAAGATTTTAATACTATTGCTATTGCAGTCTAAGAACACCCGCAACCTTCAAACAAAGGGGGCTTCAGATGCGTTGCCACCACTACGGACCAAGATGGAATGGCAGTGTGGAAAATAAAATGGAACTGGCACTCTATATCCTTCAGACCAGATCACAGTAGCTTGGGCACTGCAGTTTGCCGGCAGAAATAAGTAAAAGAGTAGTATCTGTCCAGAAAAACTCATGGACAGGAAAGGAGTTTTACCAACTAGTATAAAAATTGCTGTAATTAAAGTTGTTTATGGCTTTAGTTCAAAAATTTTAGCCGTCCTTTTTACCTTTTGTGATATTATATCATTCACTTTTCACGGGACTGTTTGGTAAGTAGGTACTTAGTGAAATTAGTAGCAAGATATGGGTGATCATTAGTAATGTCGGCGCATTATGAACAGTTTTGGAAATATTCATAAAACAAAATACATTTGTTTCTTAGAGTAACTACATACATACGTATTGGTTTATTTGGCGGCGCCTCAGTGAGTCGCGATCTACATTGAGAAGAGTGAACTGCAATGACAGTCGCTCTGGCGGATCGTCTTTTTTTCTATGGTGGCTGGGCTGGCCATCTTGCGATTGACAGATCGAGAGATAGCAGACTGAGCACCGTACCCGCGACGGATCGCTTTAAATATGTAAAATCGTTTATTATTTTTTACAGATGATTGTGATGTCTGTGTCATAATTATAATAGCTAATTAGTCTGGAACTTATTCTGATTTTAAAGAAAGATAAATTAAACAACTTGTGATTCGGTGATTTAGCGACTATTAATTTGTTCAATTTCCTGCACCCCGAGATGCCCACGATGATTTATTCTGATGAAAGCCTTCCTGCGCCTTTATATATTATAAAATGAAAATATAAACATATGTTTTTCAGAAAAAAGGATGGCGAAATGGTTTTACAAGTACAATAGTATGCTATCTAATCACTTGATAATACATCATCTCGCCCCTGGAGGTACTGGTCATTACCGTAAGCTATCAAAATTGTCTGTTATATCACTGAAATAAAAAGAACCAGGTTTTTTTTAGTTCGCGTGGTGGCTTTTGCTAAACGAGTTAGTCCGTGCACATTCACTAGTGGATTAGCTAAAACGATGCATTACTTTAGTCCGTATAAATATAAAAATATTCGGCCACAATTTGCATCGTTCACCTTAATTCCAACAGTAGGTGAGATATCTGCGTAAATTATATCTCAAAAGAAAGAACAACAACTAAGCGTGTTTGAAAATGGATTGAAAAACAAAGGCTATTTTATTATGTTTTTAAGATGGCATAAACACAACATTTCCTTAATTTTTTTAGGTTTCTTAAACTTAAATATGCCTAGAATGTTTTTCTGATAATGTACTTGGAAATTATTTCGTTCCGGTAATCACATATTACATAAATAAAAAATAATAACATAACAACTGATACTGGAAACTATTAGCACTTAACTGAAAAAAATGGGTTTTATTGTAAAAACCTTATAAATTCAATTAAGAAAAGGATCAGACTTCGTCTAAGACAAAATTAGCTTAGTACATAAATGGTTAAAGGTATCATCTGAAAGGTGTCATCTTTTTGTAAATTTGACGTGGTAGGTCTCTTATTACAATAAAAAACTGAACAGTTCGAAATTTTTGTAGGACATCGATTCAGACGCGCAACTAAATTTAGTCTAGTGCACAGTGCGTTTATAACGAGTTTTATTGTACGTACAGGACCAGTTTTGACTTATACTTTGGCACAGGGGAACGCCCGCGAATAGAAACTTCCAGAACGTCGGCGGTCCGTATTGTTTTATGAATAAGGCAATATAATTGCAAAAAATTAAGTCTTGTCAGTCGCTCTCTGCAAAGGTTTAGCTTTTTAAGCCCATGCGGTGGTAGCTTTTTTATGTCTAACTTGAATGTAATTGCTTAATATATAACAACACAAAATTTTTCTCCGAATATCGACCTCGAATGATTCACTCTACTGTTTAACGAACGAGGCTCTGACGAGCGACTCTTTGCGAAATAAACATTGGAAAATAAAAAAACTCAAACTCCCACAGATAAGTAATATGGACCAGCATTAACAGTGTGAGGGTTCTGAAAGTGCCCTAAATTGCCCATCTGCTCAGCGTGGTGTGTGGAGGAAGGTAGAGCTTTCGAGAAATACATTCCCGCTAGCACCTTATGTTCAGCGCTTGAATCAAAAAGCTAATGCAATGAAAAATTAAACTAAATATTTTACTTTAAAATTTAAATTTAAATTAAAACACATTACATACAAAAGCGTTGGCAGAAATTAAAACATGAACACGAATTGTTTTAATTCATAACATTATTGTTAAATGATCAAATAACGTTTACATCCAGGGAGATATTAACTTGAGTAATAGCATGAAAATAACTATAGGTTTTAATATATTAAAATGATGGTAATAAAATTGTTAAATTAAATTGACCATAACCACTGATCAAAACTGATATGGAGCTGAATCTATTATGATATTAAGTCCAGGCCTTAATGAGGTTTAAATTGACTATTATTTATGCGTTTGTGAAACGATCATGTTTGCAATAATAGGACATTTATTTTTCTTTTTACTTTAATGTAAGATAGGGTTAACAAAATCTTAATGAAGCTTTTTATAGAAAATTTAAAAACAATCCAGCCTGCCAACAACGTGACCATCATGACAAATATCCTCCTTATAAGAAATACATTGGAAAAGTTGCCCTCGTTTCAAATTGAATAGCAATTGCTTATTAATTATGGCATCCTTAGCAGATAGTAGCACATAGCCATCTTCTGTATTCAAATTAGGATGTTGCTAAAGATTAGGATACCACAAACCCAGCAAATACCGCCTCATTGTGTACTCGTCACCTGAACTTAAATCAGGCGATCTCAAGCACTCAAAATATATGTTTTTTTTTTTAATTTATTCTTATAAAAAGTGTACATTATTTATATTTTAAATTTTGCCAAACTGTAAGCCAGTTTGTCGGCAACACAACAGTTCATCGTTTCACACTCCTTAATAACAATATCTGGTACTTATAGCTACTTAAATTAACACAAAATAATTAAAGAACCATTCACCACTATGGACACAACGACAGATAATGTTTCCTCAAGATTGATTTGAGCTGCGCCTTTGTTATGCTTTCGTCATATATATCCGCTACCTCATTACACAAAGTTGGAGTTATCCATTGCCTTGTACGCCGTCCAAAGTAATTTTCAGCCCTAGGTATGAGATATTTCCTCCTTTGAGTAATTTGGCGCTTCGGCATTATATATGTCCTAGGTGTCTTAAATGTTACCATACCATGCTGTTCTAATATGATAATGGATTTTACTTTCATGTCTATGGGAATAATTTTGCAAATTTTAAATAACATTTCATAATTTTTATCTATAGCAATTTTAGTTTTAGTATCAACTAATATCTTTAAAAACCTTATCTGTATAGTCTTTATTTTGTTAAGATATGTTGGGAATGTGAGTCCATATGCACCTAAGCCATATCCGATCGTTGCGTTTGCTAGGGCATAATACAGCATATACATGATTCCTCGATTCACAACATATTTTATATGATTCAGTTTACCTAGAACTGCCCTAAGCCTGTTACACACTAATTCAACATGCAAGTCCCATGAGAAACGATTATCTATAACCAATCCTAAAAATTTATAGTTCGTTACACACTGTAGCTTTTCGCAACGGCAGACAGAGCTTGACTGGTCAGTGTGCAGGCAATCGTAAGTGTGACCCATAAGAGCTATATCTACTGTTTTTCTAGAACGGTTATAGGGTGATGATATTACCATAAATTTGGTTTTATTCAAGTTCATAATAATGCCATTGTCATGGGACCACATTAATAAATTGTTTAAATCCTGCTACACTTTTAACTGTATCTGGCTACTATTTTTTTTTCTTACATATGCGCAGATCATTTGATTCCGTGTACGAATAATTGTAGTAGTTCCATGTCTGTAAATGAGAATGTAGATGACTGATTCCTTCTTATTTTTATGATAAGAAGTTTTTATGATCTCCTTTTTAGTACATAAATCATTGATTACTATTTGATATTCGAAAAATTAACCAAAAATGAAAAAAATATATTCATATTATGTTTACAATGTTGATTTTGCATGTGTTATAAGAAAATGTAATAAAAAAATGATTTAAAGGTTATATTAGTATTATTTTTATTTTACTGCATATGCAAAGAACCCTTATTTTTAAACATTTATTTAACTTTAGAAAATTACTTTAATTTCGTGAAAAATTACCCAAAAAAATCCGGGTAATGATGACCCGATGTCATCGCCCGGGTTATTTTTTTATGTCATTGGCGCCGGGTTAATAAGAGGTCGTGGTCTACAAAATCAACGCTTTGGACAAGTAAAAAAATAGACCTGTTGTTAGATAACCTTCATTCAATTTTGCGAGTGTTGTTTTTACAAAAGTAAATGTTGCTAAAGTTATATTTTTATATTATATATCAGCAACTAAATTTTGTAAGATAATTGTACATTTATTAGTCCATCAGGCGTAATCATTTAAAGAGAGGAGGATGAAACTTGTTTCATATTAAAATTTCTCCTAGGAAAAATAATCGTTTTTTCTTTTTCACTAATTATATGCCAGTGCTTGGCAATATATAATTCCACTCTTTACAATTAATAAATAACCTAGGTTTTCATCATCATTTAACATGACTAGTGATGTGTTCTCATAATGCTGCCTTCCTTTTTCTAGTATTATTTGTCTATTGATGTCCGTATGATTATTTTTGGAGCTAGATACAAGCTAACATGCTATATCTATTTTATTTCAAATCAGCTAGATGGATGATAGTAAAAAAATGAATAAAACCAAAAACTATACTTCATAAGTCATTTATTTCAGTAAGGAAATTTCAAAGTGCCATAGTTTAATTGCGTTTTTTGCCTTTATCTTTATTTTTTAATGATAAATAAATATCTATTTCTGATATTCGTGTATTATTAGAATCGTCCAAGTGCAACTTAGTCTTGAGTAAACCCTTTTCATGTGAAAAGACGTTAGGAAAGTCATCCATACGTATTGTGAAATTTGTGAAAGAGTATAATTTTCCCTAAAAAAATATACAAGTAAGCTTTTTTTTTCTTTTTTATTTTGTCAGTAATTATATATATATATATATATATTATACAATAGTTATCTTATAAGGCCATGCGGTGGTTGTGGTGGTGTTAGAGAATCCATCACCCATTTTAGTCATAGGAACCGCCAAAATAATCTTTTGCCTTCTCATTGGTGGCGATAAAACCAACTCGTTTACGCCAGACGTAAAATATCCAAACCGGCGTTGGGCAGAAGCTTCAGAAGAACAGTACTTCTGGTAATGTGTTCATCAATCTGCCTTTACAGTACTTTGATACAAAAATACTAACCTGGAATCATGCTACAGTAGTTATATTACACGAACATTTAACTTTAACTACTTATTTAGTAGTCGAATAAAGGTCGATTTTTTTTTCAATATTTGTTGAAGAATAAAATTGAAAAAAAAAAATATGTAGTCAATACGTGCGTTAATATAGTCATATTAATTTATTAAGAGTCAAAGACAGTTAAATGCATGCAATTGCAAAATAATGAAATCAAAAAAATTATGTGTCGTTTTGACTTTTCGAAAAGGTAGAAAGATGATACGGTGCTTCTTTACATTTTATTTTAAGAGAAGTTATTTAAAAGCAATATCAAATCGGTAAGCAAAGTGTATTGCCCCCCCCCTCCTTTAGAAGAAGCGAGCACCTAGTAAGAGATGTCGATGAATGCATGTGGCTCAAGACCGTACTTCGTGGTATTCCTTGGAGGAGGCCTATGTACAGTAGTGGACTTGTGATAGGCTGAATTATGATGATGATGATGTACTTCTTTAAAAAAAGGCTGTAATAATCTCTGTGAGTTAAAGAAATAAAAGTTCTTACAGGTTTTACCGGACATTCTAATCCTCGTTTTTTAAACTCCATTCCGATCAGCGGGTCGTTAAGAAAATCGCATAAATTGTAATGAAAATCTATGAAGCTGCGCTCGTACCGGAAGCTTATAAATTCGTAATACAACAAATGTATCTGTAAGGAAACGGAACAGAACGATAAAATAGCACGAGGTATTAAATAGTCTTTTTATGTGCACAATCGCACAGAGATTTGCACAAGTAAATAGTTTTGACTTTGACTACCCTCGCCTTTGTAACGCTGCCCATTTACCAGAGGAATGACGACGAATACCTATTTCAATTTAAATAAAACTTGTAATTCGTTAATAATTAGGTGGTAATTCAGTAATTGCACGTGAGCATGTCGGTACTACCCTGTACCTACGCTACCACCACGTCTACTCAGATTATATGAGTTTTTTTTTTAAATTGAAAAGGCTAATTTTCCTAATAATGCAGTTTTGTTGCATTTTTCAAATTATTAAACATGTTTAAAAAGTACATACAGCTGGCCGAATGGCCTTAAGAACTGAAAACCAGTGCCGTCGCTGAGAATGGTCTATTTCGCAATTTTTAAAAGATTTTTCTCATGTTTAAGAATATACATAGAGCCTTGAAGCGATCGTGGAAGATAGACCACTACCCCATATCATATAGATAAATATTGTACAATATAGGTCTTTCCTAAAATAGGCAAGCTGCCTTTAAAGAAAGAGACACGTTATTCCAATTTAAGCATATATTAATTTATTACAACCCGTGGCAAATGCACTTCTGAACGCTCCACCACTGATTGCTTATAGGATGTATATTTGCCATAGTTGCCACTGCCTATTTCCCATTACGGTTTCCCTTTGTCGCCTCTTACGACACTCAGGGAATGATATGTGATAGAAGATATTCTTACACGATCATTGCGTGGAAACGTATGTGTTTATTATACAATTAATTATTTTTGCAAGAATAACGCTTTTAGTTACCCCTTAATGTTTTCTATGATGATTTCCAGGAGTATTGGTACAAGACAATCCTGTCTTCAGTTTTGACAAATTTAGCTAACATCTGCTTGTTTTAACTTAAAAAATACACATATTGCATACCTACCATTAAATTGTTGGTGATGGGTTGTTTCGTTATAAATTCATAATTAAGGTAGTAGTCACCTCTCCTCTCGTATCGCGATACGTTTACGAAGGCATATTGAACGTATTCATCGTTTTGGTACGTAAATCGCACTCTTTCGAATATCACCTTCAGGTTCTGAAAAAATCATGTTTTAAGGTATATATTAAATATTTTGAAAATAATAGGAACCTTCTTAAACTACTAAAACTGCTTATTTATATCGCCTTTATCAGACATATAGCAAACAAATGTGACTAGAAAAAAAAATATATGCATATATTATGTCAATCTTTTTTATATTCTGGCGACAGGTGAATACGGGATGCCGATTTCATAAATTTTTTTAATAGATTTAATCTTGCAACCCGCTTCTCAAGTCTTCAAGTCCAAGATTTCGTTTTTATGGATTATATTACAAGAATACAGAAAAGTGACTATCTGATGATTTCGATAAAAATATCAAAATTCTTAAGCAGGGGAAGTCAAAACTTTACTACTAGATTAGAATGAAGGCTAGATTAAATGTTGTGCTAAACGAGAATGGATGTATTCAAAAAGATGAGTTCTGAACTTTAAAGATATGGAAGAAATTCTTTGAAAACCTATTCAAATGTGAGTATGCATCTAAAGTAAATGAACTAGAAACTTCCAAAGAAAAGAAAAGAGGAAGTGAGATAAGCTTGGATGAAATAATGGGTGCAATGGAAAGCTTGAGAAAAGTGTGGTTCACAAGATATTACCTTCAGGATGAAGAAAGGAATGCTTCAGTGGTTTTAGCAAGTATAAAGAATGTATGCGTAAAAAGTGTAATGGAGTTATCTTGAAGATGGGTCAAATTAAAAGTACTCTTAACAACGGGCATGTATGCGTTGATATATTATGGCTGTGCAAAGAGCGAGAAAGGTCTGTCAACGGAAGTACATAGTCATTGCCTAGCCCACTGGGTGACAGGTGTGAGATTTTATGTTTTAGTTTTATTATGAGCGAACTTATTCTTTTTTGTCCAGCTATATTTTATGTAGTTACTGCAAAAGAATTCAAATGAGAAATAGCACACAACTTATAAGAAATTGGCGTTTGAAATTTAGATCTGTGTTTAATTCAATTTACCAATAACTATATAAGAAAATAAAGAATTATTTGCATATATAAAAGTCTTTCTTGACTTGATATGGTTTGGACTTTTTGTGTGTAATTACATCTGATTCGTAACTGAACATTAAATAATTTGCAACACTCTTGAAAATACACAATTTACTTAAAAGAGTTTTATAAACGTTAAAAGTAAAAGAAATCTTACGTCAGTCAAACCCGCACACATTAAAATAATAATGTACACATTCGGACACCATGCACACATTTTGTCTGAACTAAGAATATCAAACCAATGACTCATATCTATTCGTTATTGTACATAATATGTAAGATTTTAATACCAAGCGATTTTAAAGCGCGTGATGCCGGATATGGTAATAATTATATAGATGTAATACTGACCTGAACGAAATTGTTTAGAGTTTAGCAATGAATAAGCTAATGTGTTTAAAATCTCTATTCATTTAAATAAAATTATTCGGATAAACTTATTTTTAGAATTTAATGACGTGACTATAATTTTGTGTCGATTTGGACATGTAGTGGCAACTTAAAAGAATCCATCACCCGTTTGTCGTAAGAGGCGACTATGAGAAATGCCAGAAAATCTGAAGGCTTCCGATAGATAGTGGTGTATTCACCTCGTTTACATGTTCAAAGCAAATTGCCCTAGACGCGAGAAGCCAATGTTCAGCAGTGGATCTTTGCAGTTTGAAAAAAAGGAATATATTTATTTTTACACTCTATACACGATATATAGACACCAAGCACTTTCATCGCGAATTATTAAACTTGTTAAATTACTGACGTTCTCATTCAATTCTCAACCTAATGATTACTTTATTATAGCCGGTGATTTTAACCCATCCTCAATATATTGGAATATTGAATATCCAATAGTATCAAAAAAGGGATGTCTGCAAAATCAAAATGCAGCAACTGAATTATTAAACTTAATATCTTATTATGGTTTATCTCAATATAATTACTTACGGAATGCATACGGTATTGTACTAGATTTAGTATTTTCCAAAGTGCCTATAATAACTGACAAAAGTCTATGTCCATTAGTCTAGGATGACGTTTGTCATCCAGCGATAGAGATGTGTGTTACAGATATATCGATACCTCCAATAAAAGCATGTAGTAACAAAAAAAATATTTCGTAAAGCAGATTACTACAAGTTAAACTTATACTTTTCTGATTTTGATTGGTCATTTTTACATTCGCAGAGCTTACACAAAGCCATTGACAATTCTTATTCAACATTATATACTGCTTTTATTAAACATGTACCCCAGAAAGTTATTTCTCATTCATATATCTACCCTATGCGATATAGTAATACCCTTATAAAATTAATAAAAGAAAAAGCTAAGTATCACCATCTCTGGAAAAAATACAATAATCCAGAAGATTATGCCTCTTTTTCCACAATACGATCTAAGGTAAAGAAACTCGAAAAAAGAATGCTATTTCTCTCATGTTAAATTATATCAAGATAAAATCAAATCATCGCCCAAATTATTTTGGAGTTACATAAAATCAAAAAGAAAGAACCGATCTAATTATCCTCATGTAATGCAGTTAAATGACTGTAATGTCGTTAATGAATTTGAGATCTGTAATGCTTTAATGAATTTTTAGCAGAAATTTTAGCCAACCAGCACAACAATATAGTGATATATCTGAAGAGAGAGTGACAGGCTGTAACACAATAAGTGGTATACACATCTCAATTGCCGACACAATGAAATTCCTAAAAACCCTTAATTGTTCCAAAAGTGCCGGTTGTGATGAAATTCCTCTCCTTTTTTTTGTCGAATGTGCGAAATTGTTGGCAGCTCCCATAACAGTAATATTTTATAGATGTTTTCAAGAATAAGGATACGTCCCAAAAATTTGGCAAACTGCCAATATTGTACCAATCCATAAAAAGGGATCAAAAATAGTCTTTGAGAATTATAGACCAATATCAATACTGAACGTGTTAAGTAAGGTAATGGAAAATATTGTTCATAGGCAAATATACCCGTTAGTTATTCGAAATATTCCTTCCCAACAACATGGCTTTGTACGTGGTCGCTCAACCTTCAACAATCTGTCCATCTTTAGCAATAATATTCTTAGAGGGATGGATAATGGCCTCCAAATAGATGCTATATATACGGACTTTGAAAAGGCTTTTGACCTCGTTGATCATAGCATCCTTTTAAAAAAAGCTAACAGGAGCTAGTAATACGTGAAAACCTTTTCAGATGGATGAAATCGTATCTGCGTAATCGCTCACAGGCAGTCGTTGTGGCTGGATATCGCTTAAATGTTATGGATGTTCCATCTGGTGTCCCACAAGGCTCAATATTGGAGCCCTTGCTATATGCGGTATATTTATATGATGTGGGCATCTGTTTTCATTCTGCTAAATTTCTGATGTACGCTGATGACAGGAAAATTTACGCTTACATAAAATCTGAATCAGATGCTTATAAGCTACTGAACGACTTATATCGTTCTGCAGCTACTGCCGTGATAACCGTATAATGTGAATGTATCGAAATGTTTCCAAATTAGCTTTACTAGCAAAAGGAGAAAATTTATATCTCAATACTATTTGAACAATGTTCCTTTAGAAAAAACTGACAAAACCAAAGACCTCGGAGTAGTTTTTGATAAAAATGATTATGACTGATCATATCTCGGCAATGGTTACAAAGGCTTATAAAAATCTAGGCTTTGTATTACGAGTTTGTCAACCTTTTTCAGACATAGAATGTATAAAGATTTTATACTATTCTTATGTCTGTCCTGGGATATTGTAGTGCTGTGTGGAACCCAAATAATATAATGTGCATACAAAAAATTAAACGAATACAAAGAAAATTTATAAACGTCTTGAATTTTAGATGTCAAAATAAAACAAAAAATCATAGCGAATCATGTAATTTTTATAAATTAATGCAGTTGAAAGATCGCCGCACTCTACTCCAGATGCTATTTCTTCATGATATCTGCGGTAACAAAATTGATAACCCCGAATTAATTTCCTGTACTTTACAACTCTGTACTGTGAAACTACTGTACTGTGAAATTTACAGCGAGCGCTAACCATCTGAGGCGTGGTAGCTCAGATGGTTAGCGCTCGCTGTAAATTTCACAGTACGCGAGCAAACCGGGTTCGATCCCCGCCGGCACCAATGAAATTGTTAATTGCAATTTTAAGTGCTGATTTACCACGTGCTCGGCGGTGAAGGAAAACATCGTGAGGAAACCTGCATGTCAGAGAAATAAATAAAAAAATATATTTCGAAGACATGTGAAGTTCGCCAACACGCATTGGGGCAGCGCGGCGGACAATTACTTGCCCTAAAACCCTCTCAGAAATGAGCGGAGGCCTGTGCCCAGCAGTGGGACGTATATAGGCTGTAACTTTACTTTTTTTTACTTTTTACTTTACAACTACGAGCACCTACTAAAAGCAGTAGACATACTCCGTTATTTAATGTACCTTTAAGTAACTCAATTTATGCACAGAATCCTGTAATATTTCGCATACTTAATATCTATAACAAAGAATTTTCTTCAACTTGACATCTTCCACTAAAGCAAATAAGAAATTTACACCACAACACCCTAACGTACACACAAACATTTTTTTACCTTTTTTTTTATATATTTTTTAAATTTATATATTATAATTATATTATTATAAAAAAAAAAAAAAAAAAAAAAAGGTTTTATTTTGATTAATTAATTTACCCTACTCAAAAGAAAACGCATGCGGATATTAAAAACATCTAATGGAGATATTAATGACTTGCAATTAATCAAACTTGCATTAACTAATTAGATGTTCCATTTGATGATGCTAATCCATTGGGACATGCTTTTTTATATAAAATGTAAGTGATTAATGAACTCACGGTTCACTTAATGCTTATTGGCTATTGAAGTCTAAGAACACCCGCAACCTTCAAACAAAGGAGGCTTCAGATGCATTGCCACTCTACGGACCAAGATGGAATGGCAATGTGGAAAACAAAATGGAACTGGCACTCTATATCCTTCAGACCATACCACAGTAGTTCGGGCATTGCAGTTTGCCGGCAGAAATAAGTAAAAGAGTAGTATCTGTCCAGAAAGGCTCATAGACAGGAAATGAGTTTTATCAACTAGTATAAAATTGCTGTAATTATAGTTGTTTATGGTCTAAGCTCAAAAATTTCAGCCGTCCTTTTTACCTTTTGTGATATTATATCATTCACTTTTCACGGGACTGTTTGGTAAGTAGGTACTTAGTGAAATTAGTAGCAAGATATGGGTGATCATTAGTAATGTCGGCGCATTATGAACAGTTTTGGAAATATTCATAAAACAAAATACATTTGTTTCTTAGAGTAACTACATACATGCGTATTGTTTTATTAGACGGCGCCTCAGTGAGTCGCCACCTACATTGAGAAGAGTGAATTGAACTGAAATTCGCTCTGGCGGAACGTCGTTTTTTCTATAAAGGCTGGGCAGCCATCTTGCATTATTGACAGATCGAGAGATAGCAACCTGCGCACCGTACCCGCGAGGGATCGCTTTAAATCTGTGAAATCGTTTATTATATTTTACAGATGATTGTGATGTCTATGTTATAATTATAATAGCTAATTAATCTGGAACTTATTTTGATTTTAAGTAAAGATAAATTCAACAACGCGTGATTCGGTGATTTAGCGACTATTATTAATTTGTTCAATTTCCTGCGCCCCGAGATACCCACGATTAGCAATTCTGATGAAGGCCTTCCTGCGCCTTTATGTATTATAAAATAAAAATATAAACATATGTTTTTCAGAAAAAAGGATGGCGGAGTGGTTTTACAAGTACAATAGTATGCTATCTAATCATTTGATAATACATCATCTCGTCTCTGGGGGTACTGGTAATCACCGCAAGCTGTCAAAATTGTCTGTTATAATTGCACTGAAATAAAAAAGTACAGTTTTTTTTTAGGTCGCGTGGTGGCTTTTGGTGAACGAGTTCCTAGAAGTTAGTCCGTGCACGTTCACTAGTGCATTAGCAAAAATGGTGCATTACTTTAGTCCGTAAAATATAAAAATATTCGACCATAATTTGCTTTGTACACCTTAATTCCAAGAGTAGATGAAATATCTGCGTAAATTATACCTCAAAAGAAAGAACAACAACTAAGCATGTTTTAAAATTGATTGAAAAACAAAGGCTATTTTATTATTTTTTAAGATGGCATAAACACA